CCCGCACCTACCCACACCCACACCCGCACCTACCCACACCCACACCCATACCTACCCACACCCGCACCCTATTCTATAACAAGAATACATAAGTTTTCAATTCTATAATAGTCTTTTATTACGTAGAATGTAATATGAAATGTCATATATTTTATTTTAAATAGAAAATGATTACGAAGTTATGTATTATGAAGTTAAAGTAAAGAATTATATACTGTTTCTTATATTTGATTGGTTTCATAAATTGATAATATTATGTAACAATGGAATAATCTAGAAAATAATTTTCCTTTCTTAAAAGATACCAAGTTTTATTTCATTTGTGTAAACATATGATTACAATACCAGATATAGAATTTTGTCAAAAGTGAAAATATTCATTTCTTACAGCGACTGATGGAAAATACAAAAAAAGAAAACGTAGTTTATTAACTCTACAAAATGTTTTCGAATCCTGATGGTGGATGATCGACAATTGACGTATCATTCATTATCTGTAATGCTCGTCGTATATAACCATTTCGATATTCAGCTTCATCTTTTATCAAATCTTTTACTTCGTTAACGATGTCATTTACATTTAATATTGTCGATGATTCACGATCACAAACATTATCTGTCCTTCCATTATGATCTTCGGATGGAATCCATAAAGCGTGTTGAAGATTAAATACTTCAGCCCAACGACGAAAATTAAATGATAAATGACGACAGCCATATGGATTTATTTCATAAAGTATTGCTCCTGGTCTCATAAATATAGTATTCGATAAACCTGCTCCATGAACACCAATTGATAAACGTATTGATCGAGCCATACGTGCTGTTTCGTACAGATTATCATTAAAATTAAATTGTTTTGGCCAAACTCGTAAATATGGATTTGAATGATCAGGAAATGCTTTTAACAAACCATTAACTAATTCATCAGCATTTATTAATTCACGACGGGCAACACCAGCACGATTTAAAACAACAATCCATTCACCAGTAAATTCATTTGATGAAGGATTTGTTTTCTTTTGATTAGAACATATTTGATTACAAATAGGAACGTATTCTGATATTTTCTTCTCTTGTAATTCTTCTTGAGTTGATGTTAATTGAAATTTTGATTTGAGATTAAAATTATTCAATATCCATTCAGAATAAGCTAAATAAGCTCGACGATAATTGACAGTTGGAAATGGATATGATTTTACTACTCTATCTGGATAATTATAACCCCAAGCTGCTGTTCGACCACGAAAACTTGGAACTAATGCATATTGGAACATAACAGCTTTATTATTGAATGATCTATATGTTAATAATGGATATATAGAAAACATCGGTTGAATCATTTGTTCCCATTTTCTTGTTGGTAGATACGTTCCGTCAGATTGTTGTTGATAATACCTCCAATGTGACGAAAGATTCTCCAGTACTACTGATGTATAATAGATCTGAATTTTTGTTGGATCAATATAAGTTCGATGTGATTGATATTCGGATAATACCCAAAATCGAGGAGCACATGATTCAAGAAAACCATGAGCATAGTTTTCATCAGGTGCATGAGTAATCAAAAGTGGTCGTGTCAAAATAGCTGAAAGATCCAAACTTTTTATGATTCCAATATTATCAGTTAAATATAATTTAAATGCATCGAATGAAGCCATAAATGTATCTCTTTGCATATTTGGTTCATTTTTAGACGAGTTTCGAAAAAAAAATATCGATCAGTAGATGATTGATAATAAATATTTGTTAAAATACAATATTCACCACCATCTTCAAAGTTTGTATGTGATGTATTGGAACATTTCCATGATGAATAAGGATATACAACTTTATGATTATTTCTTGTAAAGTTAATATAATTATAGTTCAATGGAAAATTTGCCATGTTTCCATCTTTTTTGATGATAAAGTTCTTTTTAATGGAACGATTATTAGTATTATTACGAGCCACAATGTAAGACTTAAGTTCATTATAGAGAGATAGTGATATCCATCCGGGTGTGGGTGTGGGTGTGGGTGTGGGTGTGGGTGTGGGTGTGGGTGTGGGTGTGGGTGGGTGTGGGTGTGGGTGTGACTACACCATTCATCCAAACCCACATCCACACCCACATCTACACCTTCAAGTTTCACTCGCATGTTTTGGTTAAAGCAGCTACATCACTGGACAAAACTCTCTCTTCTCTTTACTTCTATGCTATCATATGTTGCATCGATTTTATTACCAAGTAGATATATAACATGAGAGTTTTATTTCCGTATGATTTATACACCATATTGCAATAAACGTCTCATGTCATATCTTTACTCGGTAATAAATTTCATGCAAAGTATGGCAAAATAGAAAGAAAGAGAGGAAAGACTTTTCTCCGAAAGTATAAATTCTATTGTTCATAAAAACGGCAGAAATTTAGGTATAATGAATGATAAATAGTCTCTACAACCATTATTCGATCAAAACGTAAGTGGATATTAAAGAACGGAATGTTTTGAAGAAATAGGATGCATTATTTCTTCACAAACGTCAATCTAGTCTACATTCTAGCAAATAGTTACGAATAATCATTCTTATTTACATTCTGTTTGATTTGTCAAGCTAGTGAGAAGAACAACTAACCTCAATAATTTTCTCCTGGTGGAAGCTCGAACCTCTATCCAGCCACCTTTTGACTCTACCACTAATAGACAGTGCTAAAAAGTCAATTGAAACCAACTTTACTATAAAACATCTAAATGAGCCAAAAATTTGGATCTGGTGGCTTTAGATGATGATCATTCGAACGTTCTTAAAAAAAGAATCAAATTTTGACGAATGCCTCCATTTTATCATTAGTGAATTCTTTTCAATCTTACAGATGTTTTCTATGCGGCTGTAATTTTCAGTAATCTCTGCATCATCCGAATTAAAGACTGTAATATCATTGTAGTTTCTCTTAATCCATGGCTTGTATTTTCAGAGTACTTTCATTTACATATTGAATCGGTTCTGTATTTATTAAGTTGCAAAAGTCTTGCCATTACTACTGTTATTAAAGTGTTTAGCTAAATTACTACAGTCAATTCCATTTAACACGATTCTATATGCTCAGAAAAGTGGATAAATATGCATTTGTCTTTTATTATGGAACTTTAAGCGACTTGGCGAGTGTTTTGACAAAAAAATACTATTAAATTACCATTATCATGAATTATGACCATTGCTTCATCAGAAAAAGATCGTCAATTTACCTTTCTCCATTACTTGATTAAATCACTATAGGAGGCGATTTATTAAAATAACGTCAATTAAGTCTTCGAACGCACTATATCAAGATTTTTTAGCATTGCGCAATTGCTATAGTTTCCAAAAATCATTGGGCAACAACTTTTCAACTATTGGGCAATTGCACAATGGCCCAAGGCTGGCTACGCCACTGTGTGTGTGAGTATGAGTGTGAGTGAACGGCAAAATTCATACCCACACCCACAATATACAACAAAATTATTTTAAAATTCATCATATTCGCACAAGATTTAAAAGAAATGCACGAAAATAGTGTTCTGTTTCGATGTAATTTTAAGTTTGGCATATAATTCAGATAGATAGATTTCAGTTCTATAGGTCAAGGGATGATTCAGGTGATTATCTTCTCATGTCTCAAAATTGATCAAACAAAATCACGCATCTATTTAGTCGAACTATACATAATTTTTCAAAGTTTTGGGAATTTGTCTGATTTTTTTTTATCAAAATTTCCTTGGAACAGAAGACCATTTTCATGCATGTTTTAGGAATTTGATGAATTATAAAATAATGTTGTCTTATTTTGTATCAGACGAAAAAAGACGTCCAGAGTTCTTCTCATTCGATTGCGAAAACCTACAAGTCGCAAACTGTTGTCATTATCAAGTTATTACGATCACACCTACTCCTCTTGAATCTTGATGCGGACATAAGTTATTAGTAACTTAAACTAGCTTTCGGGTGTAGACGTAGGTGTGTGGTGGCTGTAGGTATCTGAACTTGTGGATGTGGTTTCTCTTTACTCATAGTGACAACTTTCATCCTAAACTTATGCTCCTACATTTTATTGAGAATCTTCCATTTGATTGTACAATTATTTTAGTTCATTGGGATTTCAATTAAGAAAATGTCGCACTGCAAATTTACTCCTATGCTTTATTAAATAATCACAATTCGATTAATATTAGTTCGTGTTGAATGGAGAAGTATTGGTTCGAATTAAACATTAATAATATGATGGCATTTGGGTGTATAATGCAACTGCCATGATAGTATACCAAAGCCATTGAAACACACTTCAAACGACAAATATCGATAAATTCGTGTTTGTGCAATTTGATACTTCACTTCGGTTATGGTTCAGTAAAAGACAACAAAGTATTGTCTCATGTAAACTGATCGAAAAACTTTGATTCGAACCAATTTCGGATAACGAATTTTAGATCTACTAAAAATATATCACTAAATAGATATGTAATTATCTTTCTTCATTCTGTTATTTTCAATACTTTTTTTTGCTTGCAATAGAAAATAATTGTAGTAAACTATACAAATGATTAAACAAAAAATTATCTTTCTTCATATTCAGTTGCTATTTCACTCAAACAAGATTTTTGTCGAATTTCTTCATTGATTCTTTTTCCATTTTCTTTAAATATCTCTCCAATTGGAACCAATAAATCACCAGCATCTGCATCGCCTGCTTCCTTACGTTTTTCGAAATCGTCAATACAAATTAGAAGATGTTTCTGTGCTCTTCGTTCAAGTTTCTCGCAAAGCATATTCACATTGAAAACTGAATCATATCTACTCCATATTGGCATTTGTTGATACTCTGTTAAAATTTGTTCTGTTTGACAATAAACATAGAAAGATATTCGTGGACATAAGAAATTTCGATAAGTAGAAATAAGATCAATTGAGGAATGTGGTAAAAATATATCCATTTCTAAAACATTTTGATACTTTTGAAGTTCAGCCGTACACTTATCACGTGAAAAATAGTGAATAAAAAATTTTCGATGAAGAAAATCTCTTTGATGAAAATCTTCCAATATATTGGGCGGACCAAGTAAAATCAATAATGATATATAATTCATATTGGATGCCGAATTAGTTAATCTAAAATTTTGTTTTGCTATTAGAAAAAATCGACATTCGATACGATCAATATCGATAGATCATAGTCGTCAAGGAAAAACCAAGAGATAATAATCGCATGAATACAGTAATAGAGAATTTGATCAGGTCTCAAAATTCTATTTCTCAATACCAAATTCTTTTCTTTCAAATTCTTATTTTTAAAACTTAGTACGATCATCAAATCTTACTTTTAGTATTAAATGAAGGATTTCTACAGGAAAAAAACTATTGTCGAGCATGATTCTTAACATACTACGTTTCTTTTTTTTTCTCGAGAATATAGTGTTGAAAATCCATATCATTCTATTCAATTTATGATTCATGAATCATATTTTTTCTCAAAAAGAACCTTGCCAGATTTAGAGATCTTGCTCCAATTGGGAAGTTGCGTAAATTGTTATGCAGTGTAACTTCCCGCGCATCGAATGATATATAGACGAAATAAAGGGATTATGTGTCACTTGATGAAAACTGCTGCATTCATCGATATAACAATACTGATATATCAGTACATCAAATTATACAGAATTATTTCTAAAAGTTATTTCTATTGAGATTGAGATGCTCTTATATGTTGTATATTTAATAATTCTCGCCATTCTAAGATCTGCACTTTTGGATCGATTTTTCTCTGATTTTCGACTTCATGACGTGTCAGTGCGAGCAATACTATGCCTCACAATACAATGTTATCAATACACAACTTTCCCGGAAACTGTACCTGATGCCGCTCTATATATTTTTGCAATATACTGGCTTCTGAGTTAAAAAGAAACCATGATTGAAAACTACATCACTGATCACAAAATGCTTATATCTTCATGTAAGCGGTCCTCATCTTTGGAGTAAGAAAGTTTTTTCTCGACTAAGATTTTAATGCATCACTCTATTGAATGACAAGAATAACTCTCTGGAAAATGAGGAACAAAAGTTGAAGCTAACTTTCCTGGAGACGGGTACTGTCAATGGAAAATTATCGGTATCATAAACATATTGATTGTTACCTCAATGTTTTAGATCTTAGTAGTGTAATTATCTATGGCCATTGAGCAATCAAAAATTTACCAACAACATGAAATAGGACAGGGACTATTTGCATTGGTTGCTTCCTATACTCCTTACTTTCAATCTGAAAGTCAAAAATTTTTTGTTTTTATTCTCTTAAAAGTTATCTACTTCATTCAATAGAGAGTTATGTATTATTTCTTGGTCGAGAAAAAACTTTCTTACTCAAAAGATGAGTGTCGCTCACATAAAACAATAAGCATTTTTTAATCATGGTTTCCATCCAATTCAAAAAGCCAGCATACTGCAACAAAATATAGAGCGGCATCAACCGCAGTTGCTGGGAAAGTCGTGTAACAGTAGCACTGCATTTTGAACCACAGCATTGCTTGCATCGAAATATCACAAAGTCGAAAAATCGACCCAAATGACCAAATTTTGATGCGATGAGAATTATCAAATATACCAGACCAAAGAGCAGCCGATGCTCTATATAAATAACTTTTAGATCAATCCTATATAAGTCAA